GAGGGATTTTTTTTGCGATGCTTTAATCTATATAAGGCAATTTCTAATGCATTCACTTTTATCGGTTCTAAATTGAAGAAGATTTACAGAAACGTATTTTCCGCGTTAACTCAAAACAAACAATGGCTAGAAAAAATAGTTACAATTCGTTTTTTTAAGCAATTTAAATTCCTCTTATTACATTGTAAACTTTTATCTATTTTCAAGAAAAGTAACAGATATAAGGTTTTGGACTGAAAAACGACAAGAAAAAAAAGTATAATTAAAAAGTAATCTAGTTTTATTGATCAAACTTAGCAACACACCATGGCCAAGCGAAAGAGTTATATTATGAAGTGGTTCAAAATTTCAAACATTAACGCCAATTCAATCCTAGGTAATATTAATAACACATAGTTTGCTTTATTTGCTTTTTTTCTTTACGTTCAAGTTTTTCTTTTTCGATTGAAGTTTTGATAAATTTATGATTCGTTTCTCACTGTTTGACTTCACATAATAGTGCGAATCCATCATCTCAAACTTTGTTTTATAGCAATATTAGATTTGATAGATATTTTGTTTTGTTCAGTTTCTGCACGAAAGATAAAAATCTCTTCATACACGCAGTGAAAATTGTGTGAATGACTTTCTTAATGAACGAGGAATTATAATAAATCTAACGTCCCCCCCCCCCAAAAAAAAAGAATGACTTTTTTCCTTGCAAACTGTAGCGATAATTTTGTGATTTTTCGAATAAGCATATGAGGGATTTCGTGTAGCTAGAGTTAATTTTGAATATCGTTGGAGTACTCTGAAGTACGCCTTCGAATGGTTTATGTTCTGTTTAATTAAGATTTTTTGTTGATTAATTTGGCTTGTTTGTTTATTATAACGACAGGTATCCTTATTTTAAAATAAGAAAGAGAAAAATTTATACGAACGCGTCGATGACTCRCCACTTTTTCATTAAGAAACCAAAAATTTGGCTTCTTTCATTCTCATCCAATGAGCGTCGAGGTCACTTGCAGACTCGCAAAGGATTGTGGGTAGGAGAAATTTTCCCAAAATCGTTATGATTATTTATGAAGTAATATTCAATTCTTCCCCAAGTAAGGCTTAACCATCTGCCAAACCGTTGTAAAAGATCAAGAGCGTCCTCAGAGGAGTGTGAGTGGACGTATTTTATTGTCATCTTTCTTGTTGCCGTAATTGAATCATTAAGTGTGTCGTTTTTCAGAATTGGGAAGATTGATAGCCAATGTACTTGAAATCTAATCAGTGCGTTAGATTATTAGTTTTCTATCCCCAGATTTCCATCTAAAACACTCAGGCGACTGATGTCTTGTTTTTGGGGTCTCGGTAGCCCGCCGTTTTGAGAGTACACTTCTCATGTAAATCTGAATTCATTATACATTACTTTTTTTAAATTTTTCCTTAAWTTTTTTTCCCAATCACTTATCTTAACTAGAATATCATGCTTTTTATTATTATCAGTAAGAATATTAATGTTATCAGTCGTTCTTATTCGAACTTGTCTTGATGAAATATCAATGTGAATTTAAAACTGATTTTACAATTTTTGTGTTGTCGAATTTAGTTTACAAACTTGAAAAAAAAAGAAGATATTTTGTTCTTTGCTATTCCTTCTCATTTTCCTTTTATTTTTCCCTTACCGGTACGTCACTATTCAAGCCTTTCAAATGCAAGTTAATTTTATCAGGCTTAACTTTGTCCTTCAATTTTGACTTTCATGCATGGTCCTTTCGCTAGCCAATAAAAAGCTTTGCCGACTCTGACAAAATCAAAAATAATATTTGCCTCTACCGAGGTCGTTATTCAACATGAATCCTTTAATTTCCCATGTATGTAAGTAAGGTACTTAATGTATTTCTGTACAATTGATGAGACGAGACATTTTATTTCCATTTAGATCGTTTTAAGCAAATAAGCTACACGTCTGGACGGATAAAATAGCTAAGAAAAAATATCAATTAACTAACCATTGATAGAACTGAAAAGTCTTATAAATCTTTTAAGAATTGCATGAACAAAGAAAGCAATTGTAGGCATTGTATTTCCATTTCGATCGTCTTAAGCAATTAAGCTAGCAGGTCTCGACGGATAAAATAGCGGAGTGTATCAATTAACTAACCATGCATTGATGAAACTGAAAAGTCTCGGTATAAAGCTCTTTAAAATTGCATGAACAAATAAGCACGGTCTARAAACACGAACGTCTAACCAGTTGATCTCGGGCTCTGAGTTGAGCTAAGCTTAAAACATTGAAAAAAAGCCGATTCATAAAATAAACTCTTTTACAATGTATGAAGGAGAATTTATAAACACTAAGTGAAACTTGCTAAGAGCCACCGGTGACAATTTTTAGTGTTTAGACAATTTTGGCCCACGTAACTCCCTTAAGACGTAAGAACTCTTCAAAATAATCCAAAAAATCCACTTTTGTGTAAATAAGTAGTTGAGTGTATAATACTCTCCTTGCGAACATCCGGACGTAAATAAGATTTTCCAGTTCTGATCTGCCGTGTACTTAATTTTATTAATAAGGGGCGAAAATGAAGGACTCACTGGAATTATCGAGTACTCAGTTGTTCCATCCTTCGGCCCTGGCTAAACGGGGAAACATATTTTCTTAATGTTTCCAAAGGTGGCAAAACTGTCAGGGAACATCGGGAAACATGTTTACTCAATATCGGTTAGCGCATGCGCACTTTCAAGATAGAGCTAGCGTTGCTAAGTAACGAACTTTTAGAACTCTTAGAATGTTGACTTTCGTGGCTAAACGAGGAAGCATTGGGAAACATTGTTCCCGTGCCTCTTGGAAGCATGAAATGTTTCTGCCGCACGGCAGAAACATTTTTGCGTGTTGGAAGCAAAATTTGTTGCACGTAGCAATGTTTCGCATGTGGCTAAACTTGGAATCATCGGGGAACATGCGCGCGGGAAATATGGTTCTGGAAACTTGTTTCCTCGTTTAGCCAGGGTCTTCGTTTCAGAGTTCACATTTATTAATATGGTAAACCATCATTTTAATTATATTTGTCATTATTATTTAGCTTGTTAGTGATTACCAATTAAGCGGCAACTTGACTGCAACGACAGTCAAGTTCTAGCAGTGTTCTTCCCAGATCGGTATACTTTTTGGACACCTGCTGATCATCGATCTTATTTTTATAAATAAGCTGTCATTCTCATAATAATCATTTCTACCTATTCGTTCAATCCATAACRCAGACCCTTTTTCCAAAATGGTGACCGCAAATTCAAAACTTAGTTAAAGTTAAACGTCTGTAAATTTGTCAATTTTCAACTTATGTTTACTTGACCAAATAACACCTGACATCATGAAACTTACTAAGTAAAGGTGCTCTTACCTACAGGTAGTTTTAAATTTTTGGTGATTTAACTGAAGCTGCCAGCTATTTAGATAAATAAGGTGGAAAACTAGTGAAAACTAGCGTAGACTGCGTCGGTGTTTACAGTAAAACAGTTGATAGATAGATAATTTATAACACCGTATGGTATGTAAAATGAAAAATAAAAAATAAAAATGAAACTGACGTTTCCGACGTTAGTCCATCATCGGAGTAAACCGTTTACTCCGATGAAGGACTAACGTTCGAAACGTCAGTTTCATTTTTACATACCATACGGTGTTATAAATTATCTATCTATCAACTATTTAGATAAATGCTTAGAAATTGTTCCCTCCTCCTCCTATAGTTTTCGCAGTCTCCTCTCCTCTCCTCTCCTCTCCTCTCCTCTCCTCTCCTCTCCTCTTATCCATGCAAAACGAATCAACTTCCATAACGGATTTCATTTCTGTTTTCTCGTTATCTGTTTTTCTTTTCATTTCAACAGCCAAAACATATCATAAGAATAATTGTATCATTACTCTATAATCCCATACAAGCAACTATTGTGTTATTTTCAAATTCTCTTTCCTGTTCAAATTAAATTAATCTTGGAACGTTTCCATTCGCATTCTTTCGAGGGAAAACTATGACTTATGGAATCAGTCTAGTAGAGTTTGGGATGATATAATTYATCTGCAATAGGACAACATGTCTGTCCAGACTGCAAAATTCAGTGGACTCGGCCCATCGGCCTCTTCCAATTTTCTCAGCTCTCGGAATTTTCTTCATCCAATTATTTCCAAATTGGACAGCATGTAGTTCTATTACCTATACTAATGAAAAAATTAACAACACTGAAGTTAATTAAACCATGAAAACAGGCGGTCCAAAATGAATAGAATGGTTTAGAATTCATTTTGTGCTCTTGACTTTATGGCCGGAAAAATTATGAGAAATYTATCCAGAGAAACAATAGGCCATATGTAAATAAGTGTTCAAAGTGAATGGAATGGCTGACAATCCCTATTGCGCATATGACTTGTTGAAAACCCGCTAGTTTGAATAAGTCATCAAGCATTCAAAAGAACAGAAAATGTCAAAGRTAAATGATAAAACTTATAATTCAACAGATTAACTCTCTCAATTTTAAGAGAACATTGTTCGACGTTTTTAAGTATAACTTAGCCATTTTGACTACCTTCAATTCAAATGGAAATTTCATTTTAATATTTACTTTTCAACTATGAAATCAAGGTAAAAAGTTGCTAATATTTCGCGCGTTGCCAAGCAAAAAAGCTCAAATCTGTCAGAGAAAGAAAGCCGCATAAAGCAAACAAACCAACTTCTTTGGCAGACGATTTTATACTTCCCATCATTGTGGCACTTTATTCATTACCGTTGCCAAATAGTACCTCACTAAAAGCTCTTTTTTTTCCTCATGCAGATGAACGCTTTTCGCTACAAAACGTTCCTAGTAATTGCGAGAATTTTAATGGCATATTTTTCTCCTGGCGAAAGYCAAGAGAATGATTCGAGGGAGATGTGCTCTTCTACAGAGTGTAGCTGTTTTTCAGAAAGTTCTAAAGGACAACATTATGAAATTGCTGCAAGTTGCAAGCTACAAAGCATTGGGGATTTAAAAAACGTCATTCAGGAGCCACGAAATGTTACGACTTTGTAAGTTGGATTTCATGCTCTTTTGTCGTACGAAACTGGTTGAAAGAAATCTTGGCTACTTAGAAAAAAATTCAGCATTCATTGATAAACAAGCAAAAACTACGAAAGATTTTAAGCTACGTTTTTTTAACAAGTCTCAAAGGAATTCAACTCCAAATTAGCTTGCGCGTTTTATGTTACGTTCAAAGGCTGGCCTCGAATTTTCCTTATTATTAATTGTTCTCCTTCTATCATCCACTCTCATTATCTATTCCACTTCAGCCGATATTTGTAGCACATTTAAGAAAGATTTTCATTCGCATTTTTAAAACAGTTTTCAGAAGTTAACAATCAAAGTTTCGCTGGGCTGTACTAAATATTTTTCAAAAACCTGTTTTGCAGATTTCTACGTAACTAAAATAAAATTTTGGCTTCAAATTTAATTCCTATTTTGAACTATAGAATTTAGCCTTGATCTTTGCTTTTCTCCCCATTCGTTTTCCTTCCATTATCTTTCAACCAATCTATACTATAATCAAATTTCTTATTTTTATTTATTTCAATTATTTTTTGAAATTTTGAAATTTTAAATAAATCAAGTTTATTATAGTAGTTGAATTTACAATTGTATAGAATACTAAAACTGCAAATATTTAAAATACACCCTTTTTATTTTCTTTCAGATCTCTTAAAGTCGATGCCTTTTACACAATTCCACCCTTAAAATTTGTGGATTTTACAAATCTTGTCAATCTGTAAGTATACTGACCTGAGTCGAGTGTAGTTTAATTGAAATTATCCCGGCCTTTTATTAGGCGTGTGCTAACTTTTCAATCTCTTAGCCCTTGGGCATAATAAGCAAACAAGCTTAATGCTTTTCTTGGTTGAAACATTTTCATTTTACTTTTACATCATCACTGAATTTTAGGCGACTTTACTCTTTTTTAGTTGTACAATTTAATATTCTTATTTTATTTCAACTAAATAAATAGCTTCCTAAGAAATGTCTTGTAGCAAGTGGAATTGTTAAATATATTCGCTACTCGGAACTGAGCCTCAAGCTATAATACAAAACACAGGTGAATTATAGCATTACAAAATGCCACTTTTAACTAATATCACAAGCGCACATTCGAAATAAAAGCCGTTTGATTGCTTTTCAGGACGTTATCAGACAACAGAGTGGCTGTAATTACTAAAAACGCCTTYCAAGGCTTAAACCGTCTTCAATTCCTGTAAGTAACCTTGGAAATTTAAAACAAAAATGTATTCTATCAAAATAGATTTCCGGGAAAATCTTCAAATTTTATACGTCATTAATTATTGTACACGTTCTAAGATAAGAGCAAGGGATAACTAGTAACTAGTGCACTAACGAAGTAATGGTTATAATCCAGTTGTTATGACGCTAAGGACGTCCGGAGAAGCCGCTTAACTTCAATGAAAATGAAGAAAGTAAAAGATAAGTTTTTTTAAAGATAATCAACGCCTTCCGTAAGACCGCTAAATGGCTTTCAAGCCAACAGCCAAACGGAACGAGTCAGCCTCTCGATACCATTACCACATGAATACTTTTCGTAGTTTTTATCTTTGCCTATATTAACACCATTATCTTACGAYTGGCTCAAAGCCATAAAGCGGATATTTGGATAAGAAAAATACTCTCCACAAGAGGATTAGTTCTGTTCACTATTAGTGGCAACCACCTACTGAATAAGAGGATCGGAAAACTGAGAAAAAAGAGATTTTTTCCCGGCAAATCTATTTTATGATTTATTTGTTTGTTCAAGCGGCCGTTTTCGAATTCATAGGGCGAAAAAAGTTTTCGACTCTGGTGTTTTTGCCTTGCCTGTAGTTAATTATCTAGAATAATAATTCCAACAATTTTTTTACGGCAGTGAGAAAGCTGGAAAACAAAGTTTTGCAAAAACATCCATCTATAGTTTTTTCCTTCCTCTGCAAAAATTTATATCGGTAATTGTGCCACATTTTCGCCCAAAACGAAAATTAAATCCATCATGACACGTCGGCAACGCATGCCAAAATCCATCTTTGACAAATATCCGATCAATTTAACCGTGGTCTTTATTTTAGCAGATTTCGTCTGAGTGTTTGGACAATTAAGCACACTGACTTAAAGCACGTCTATAGAGGGCGCTGAGGAGGGCGAAACATTAGTGTTATTATTGAATTGGCTTCCAATGTCATTTATATGTGTCTTGTATATGTCCAATCACAGAACGACCACAAATGCAAATTAGCATGAAAAAGCAGCCACACTGACTAGGGAAAAAATCGAATAAGCCTCATCAAGCAAGATGACGTTTTACCCCCGTCTCTAGAACATAATCCTTTTCACACTGCTTTTGTTCTTTAATTATGACTATTGTTCCTGTATTCTCTAAGCAATCAAAAATTTTAATATGAAAGAATTTTAAAAACTATTGTGGTATAGAGTCGGGGGTAAAACGTCATCTCGCTTCAGGATTATTAGAGCATTATCCGAGGTCATAAGTGGTGACCAATAAATTAAAGACGTATCTTAAAATTCCACACACTTATATCATTTAATTTTTAATATTTCATATTAGAAATCTGAGCGGAAACAAAATAAGGTTTTGGGAAGGAGAAGGCTTATCCTCACAGCTCCCCTTACTACGAAGAATCGAGATGGCTGGAAATCCAAGATGGACGCCAACAGACGAGCTTCTAAGAATCCAAGGACTACAGGAGCTAAAAGGAATAACATGGAGTGACGAATGTGCTGAATGTAGTCTAGTAAAGAACGAAAGCAGCCCTTTGACAAARCTATACAGTCAAGGCAGTTACAGTGATTATATCGTATGGCACTGCAGAGGAACGGAGTACACTGTTTCCAAGAAGACACGAAATTTTGCACGGTTTCAATTCCTTCCCGAGTGCTTTGACTATAATGAAAAATGCTACCAGGCCGAGGTCAAAGCGACAATGAACCACCGTTGCTGGGATACGGATAATAGAATACTTTACATTGAATACGTCCTTGGCATTATCGTCATAGTACTGAACGTTACCGTGGTAACGGTAACCCTGACGAGCTCCCTTAAAACCAACGTTGCTATGCTACTGGTGTCAAACTTGGCTGTGAGTGATTTTTTAAATGGTGTTTACAGCATCTCGATCACACTTGCAAGACAGAGTGCACCGTATACTGAGTTTGTGACGTTTTTGGATCGTCTGTGTCCTGTACTGGGATTCCTGTGGGTTTTGGGCCAGTTCAGCACCATACAGACTTCTTTACTACTAACAATTGAACGATATACAACGATAGTGTTCTCAATGAGACCACACTTGAAGCCRACACCTGGYGTAGCATTTATTGGTATAGCCTTTTCATGGGTGATAGCACTTGTAGCTGCAATACTACCCCTGGTAGGGTTGGGGTCCTACGTTACCAACACGTACTGTGTTCCAATGCAACCCTCAAAAGAGGTCCCCAGCACCTTTCTCTACAGTCTTGGCATGTCCCTGCTTGGAGTTATCCTTTATTTCACTACCATTCCACTCTACGTACGAATCTTCGCCTTCGTTCGCAAATCAAGCCATCAAGTTGGAATCAAGCGCGATGGAAAGATCGCTCGTCGCATCTCCATTCTTGTTCTCAGCAACATGATCTTTTTCTTAACGCCGATTATTATCGCATTATTATGGCTATTGACTGACATCTTCAAGAAAAATATCTCGGTGCAAGCGCGCAATATTTTAGTGGGTGTTTTCCCAACGGTTTGCTTCAGCCTTAACAGTTTTCTGAATCCACTTTTGTACGCTTTTAGAAATAACCGCTTCAGACATGCTCTACTTATAAAGTTGAGGAAGATCGTGATAACGCCGAATTCTTCTGTTGGGGACATTTCGATGAAGTCGAGGACAGAAAGCAAGATGAACAATTGACGATACGCGACATGACAAAATTGCCAGCGAAATCATTGTAGTCGCATACGAGTTTTCTGTTTAATAAGATAGTTATTATCTACCTTGCAATTATGAATCAGTTTTCATAAGAGAAGGATGGTATTAACTTATGCGCAGTAATAATACTGCTTTGTACAGCTAGTTTTCTTAAGTATTATTTCATTCTTTAATGGCATTAGATGAACTGCTACTGATCAGGGGGTTGGGGTCTGATCCGTTGCCATGGATACCTATATGGGTGGGGCTTTCTCGCTTGCTGATTTGAAAATGCGCCTAGAACGCCATGCAAAGCTACTCAAAACTGCTGCCCACTAWACTAAGTTCCCTGTATTGCTTATTGCAGCAGACCCCTTCGGCGTATCAAGGTTTCCCATCTCACACCACTTATCATTGACAATGACACGTGGTCTGAAATGGGATAACATTAAGCCCAGATTAAATTGGTTTATTCCTTAATAGATTTATACTTATATAACGCATATTTAATGTAAATATGTTGAAAAAAAAAAAGAAAAGAAATAAAATTATGCGGGTGTATTTGACGTCATAGCCGCCATATTTGGTCTTGGCCGTTTTCGTTACATCAACCAACATGGTGGCCATGTCTTTTTCCCCTAGATATTTTGAAGGGGCTAACCTGGTTAAATAAAGGAGTTATTTATCTTATCATATATAAATCCTGAAATTGCATTTGAAAGTGATCGATGTACACTTAAAAAACTGGATTTGATATTCAAGTTAAAACCCTCTTGAAGAAACATCTTGAAAACATGCCGTCATGTAATCAAACCAATAAAGCACTATTTTTCTAACAGCGTGAGTAGTTATATTATATACGGTTCTTAATTATTTCAAATAATGAGATTAAAATCTTTCTACCTGTAGGGGTTGTTTAAATGATCAAAATAATCTATTAGGCCATAAGTGTGACGCCATTAGTCGAGTTCCTTCTGGGTCTCAAAACAAAACACCTTTAATGTCATTCATGCATAATACCCATGATCAGTTGTTTTTCGTGAAAACTAATTTTTTCGGGGCTGCAAGTAGCGCGAGGCTGTTTCTTTTTGAATAAACGTCTTGCGTGACGTACGATTGCAATTTAGTCATGCCACTGAGTATAAACTCAAGGTTGGTCCGTTAGTTGTTAGTCACTGGAGGACCACTGTTTGAGAACAAATAACACGATTTTTCAATCATAATAATACACCAGATTAATCTTCTTTTTATTGACATTATTATTAACCCTATTTTCYTTTATTCTTAGAAAAATGCTGCTAAAAAGAATCATTCGACAGTTCAGTTCTATTCCAATCAATTGTCACCAGAGTTCAAAAATAAGGCTTTTGGTAAAAAAATTAGCTACCCAATAGTGACCCAATGGCTCAACCAACACCTAAGCTTTTCTGTGCCGCCATTATTGCACATGACAGAGAAATTGGTAAAAATCTGAGAAAGTACAGACTAAAGATGTATAACATCTGTCTTAACCATGGTTAATCTCAAGCCCAGAGTCTTCCAGCTTTTTGGTCAGCAGGCCGGATACAAGAGTCTTACCAGTCAATGACGACAAAGCAGGAAGGCACTAGAGGACTAGACTCTGGGTATGAGATTGAACCATGGATATACTGTATATTCTAGTTCCCAGTATCTTCAATTTTTCCAGCTTATACCAACAATCAAGGGACTGGAGATGAGACATTTGATATATGAACCTTAATCACAAGATGACATGTTCATTCCCATGAGAATAATAATTTCCTTTGTTTAAACCTGTGTAACGTCATTCCAAAAGTGATTGAATGTGAGGCTATGGGGAGGGGGATAACATCTATTGTTCCACCCAACATGGCTGCAAAATAAGGAAGGTCCATGATAGGAAAATGGAAAAAATTGCACAAAAAAACTTGAGATTAATATGCATTATCAAGAAAAAATAAAAGAAAATGGTAATCACAAACTACAAGATCATTTTGATAAATTTGCAAATAAAAACAAAATATTGATTAAAAATTCCAAAAAAAGTTCCTTAACATCGATATTCTTAATTGTAAGGTAAARAAAACTAAAGACTATAGAGAGGGCTGGATGTAGGGATGTTAGCCCCCCTCCATATTCCCTAACAACCAAAAATATGCACTGCTTTCACTGAAAGTGTATGAATGCAAAATGTTCACTGAGGTCTTTCTCCRATTCCCCCTGCTAAATCAAAAACRAGCTGTGCAACTTCTAATGCCAATGCATCTGCTTCYTCTCTGGAATTACCCTCGGCATAGACACGGACCACATCCTCAGTACCCGAAGGGCGCGCAAATGACCTAGCATYGGTATACTTGGCTACCACTTTGTTGATTTCCTCTTGAAGGCCTTTGGGTTCCAGAGCTTCAGTTTCAGTTTCTGAAGTCTTGAGAACAGTGCGATCCTTAACTTTGACCTTCAGTTGTCTGCTTGCTAAGTCTGTGTAGCAACTATACCACTTTTGGAGATCCCAGCCCCTGGCGTTGAGGATTGCTTCGACGACAAGCATATCACTCATGGCATCCCCAACAGCTTGATTAATCAAATCTATCATRCTAACCAGTATKGTTGCAGCTTTGTTTTCTTCTGATGCTGRTGCAGTGCTCTTAGCAGCCTCTGTTATTTTATGTGTTGCTTCATCACTAAATATCACTGTTCCATGTCCATTAGCTTCAAAGTAGATRCCAATATCAAACTKTTCAGCCCTGTGGTGGACATACTTGACACCTGTCTTTGCAAATGCTACAGGGACTTTCAGCTCCTTTTGGGCATATTTYGTAGAGCTACCATTAGCATAAGCAGTCTGTACCATGCCAAGTCCTCTGTYRAGAGCCACACCKGTTTTGTCAACCAATTCTTTCAGGTATCCAGCAATGAGAGTAGCTATTCTGTCACCATCCAAGAGATGGAATWTTTTTTCTTCATCCAAAAAGAAATACATCACTCTATCAGCATCACCATCAAATGTGATGCACTTGTCACCAGGACTGATTGTCATCCCTTTTGGCTCACATTGCCCAACCTTGACATAATCRGCACCACAATTCTCATTCAGTTTCTCRACAACATCATCATTAAAAACCACTATTGGTAGCTGCCCTTTCATVTGGCTTGATAATTCCTTAACTTTTGGTCCTCCAACTCCATTCGCACCATCWAGTTTGATTTCTTTTGGCTTGGCATTGCTTGTCAGAGATTGCACATGCAGATAAGCCTTGGATAGTTTCTTATAATATCCTTGCTCTGTTGCCTCACCATATTTCCCTTTTGTATTATGACATCGTACCATGTAATGCAGCTGGGGTGTGGTCAGTACACCTGAAATAATGAAATATATGCCATTGTCATATATACCTAGCAATAAGGGTTACTATTAAAGTGGATATAAATAGCTATGTTTGATTTGTGGTTGGTTGTCTGACTGCTTGATTGAATGAAGGGTGCATCAAAGGGTAGAATATTGGATGGAAGGATGAATGGATAGATGCATGCATGCAATGGATGAAGGAATGGACCGACTGGTGGACAGATGGATGGATGGACGGGACTGGGTGGATGAATGGTTTAGTGGGTCACTGAATAAATGTGGATTTAAATGAACAGTCGAAGAAAAGAATGAACCATTCTAGTTGGTTGAGAGATGTTAAATTATTATTGTATATACATAATCATCGTGTATGGCAACAAATTTTAAAGCAACAATAACGAAGACAGCTAGGCCTAGGGGATGTGTTCACTAGGGGGTTTCACTTTCACTTGTTTTGATTCCCGATTTGAGAAATCTACTCACCAAAATCATGATAAATTCCACCTAACGCCTGTATACCATCCATTAGCGCCCGTGTGAACATCAAACCACTAGGTCTCGTATCTCTAGCGATAAAAACCTTGGCAGGTTTGACCATATCAATGTCATTCGCAGCAATRATCTCCTTCAAAACTGGGGCCACAGCTTCTGCATTTGCAAGAGAAGTCGCAAACTTYTCCCAAGAGGCGTTCAGCATTTCTCCCATTGGATCVACMAGCTTAACTCCGTTATCATAGACTGGATTATGCGAGGCTGTGATGACTACACCGATAGCTTTTCCATCCATGGCACGCGATCTTAATGAAGCTAACATTCCCATTCGGAACATCACTGCTTYTAAAGTCTCGGCGCGACCTCGAAAACCGGCCGTCCCGTAGCTGTATTTCATATCGATTTTAGGATACTTTTTGCTTGCTTCGTTGGCATTGTGGAGTACAGTCGCCATTGTGAATCAACGCGTAAAAAAGCTACTAAAATTCCTACAAAACTTTGAAGTCACGGAAGAATGAAGAGAGAAACGGAATATTTGACTTAYTGAGCCACGTCAATAATACCACAGGAAGCCCTCACTACGACATTATCATTGACTGCTATTTATTACTTCTTTTCTGGATACCGCACATTTCGTTTATAAAATAAACCCTTAAGTAATACCACGAATATTCTTTGAAAATACGGAACTTTAAAGGATTAGAAGAGAATTTTAGAATAATAAGAAAGAATTTATTTATGAATATTGTGATGGTTTACCTGTGTTTTTCATAGGCATGCGCAGGGGGATAATGTTTACTGAACAAAGGGTAGAGCATATTGCAGGCTCGTCCTCTTCGCTGTTGTTTCGGCCATTTTGATCGTGGTTCGAAATAAAACAGAAGGTAAATCCACTAGATTCTCATCCATCTTACTGTCTAAAACCTAACTATATTATCGAAATTAAAGTCTTAGTACTATTTTTTCCTACTCACCATTTATTTTTGCCCTCGGTCTTTAGAATTTTCTTAAAATACGCATTTTGTTGGGTGCATTAGTATCTTCGTGTCTAAGTCGATACCCAAATACTGTGCATAGTACAACATAAATCATTATGTAATGCTTCATCTTATTATAATCTTATGGTGCATAGTAGTAGGCTTTTTACTTACATTGTCAAACCATATTTTCATTTGTTTCTTGTTTGAACAGCTCTAAAAATGGCTCCCAAAGTGGAAATGGCAGTCGGCCTGCAAAAAGGCCACAAAGTTACTAAGAACGTTACAAAGCAGAAACCATCACGAAGAAAGGGGGTAAGACTTTTTCTCACCATAAAATAACGTTTTTCTTCATCCACTGTAATGTAAAAGCCTCTAATCTTATAGTTTTAGACTTGGAATTAGCTTTGAGTAGAAATAATTTTTTTGGAAATCGAGAATATTTAAATATGGAACTGAAATCTCATGAGACTTTTCAGAATCTATTGTCTGTCCCAGCCAATCACAATGTATTAATTACAGCATACTCAAATGTATTTCTTTAATAGTGGTATATGGTCTGATAAGGCTTGTTGTCTGTAAACTTGTATTATTGAATTCTCTAACTACAGTATTAGAATTACCTTTATCAGTTAGGTAACATCTTTCAAACCTTTTGTACATTTTTTATAACCATGAATACTGTATATTCAGAAATAATTTCATTTRTGTGAGGAGTGGAATGTCGATGCCGTAGTGCAGTTGCCTCTCACCTCTCCCTTCATCTTAGGTTCAAGGTATTCTGCTATGTTGGACCTAATTATATGGCCAATACTCATGTTGCAGTTAAAATTTAAATTTGTAGATTCGTAGGAGAGATACAGTAAATCTTGTTTCCATTCATTTAYACAATATCCTGCAACATTCAACTTTTAACCTTTATTTTTCATTTTAGGCATGCAATAAGAGAGTAAAGTATGTCCGTGATGTTRTCAGGGAAGTGGTTGGCTTTGCTCCTTATGAAAAGAGATGTATGGAGTTGCTMCGTATCGGCAAGGACAAGAGAGCACTGAAATTCTGTAAAAAGAGGGTAAATCCTACCAATAGCCTCGCTTGCCATCTATATGCTATGTCTCCATAAAATCCATGCCCAAAATTATAGAGTTTTTGTATCTCAATCAAATTATTATTCATGCTCTATCCATACATGTATATTTGCATTCCTAAAAGGAATACTTTTATATACTTATGCAGGGTTTTCAATATCAGCGTGAGTAGAGTGCAAACAATATATCCATGAAACACTAATTACTAAATTTTTCAAAATAGTGCTAGTTAAACAAAAGAAAACAATAGAATTAACATAAAATATTGTACGGTGCAAGTTAGTGTTACTAATATTTCACGGATATATTGTTTGCACTCGAAGTGGCAAACTGTAATAAATAGGGGGGAGCAGCAAGCTTTAATCAAAATAGGCAGCAGTTCATGTAAAATACCCAACAAGGTTCTCCAGCTGCCAGTTTCTATTGAAAACCCTGCTTATTCCTTCTGTCCAAAACTAAGCAGTGAAAAACTCACCATAWACAAATYTTTTGAAAAAAAAAAARCATTTCAAAAGACAATAGTTTTGAAGTTTTGTTCTGGACTACATGATTGTGAAAGTGGCTGTATWAAGTCACTCTAAGAAAACATTTGATACCAYTTAATCCCTGATTAATCTGATTTCATTTTGTCACATTTAGCTTGGAACTCATGTCCGTGGAAAGAGAAAGCGTGAAGAAATCTCAGGTGTCCTGGCTCAGATGAGGAAACAGCAACATTAAATTACTATGACATTAATAAAACTGCCATTTTCTTGCAAAGTATTTTTGTATTTGATGCTTTCAGTCTTTCCTAGAGGTTGTGCAAATGCTCCAAACATCTCCGATGCCTAATATAGTTGGGCTCAATACATGCATGTTATGAGCAGTTGGATACCTTGTTAGTGGTCATTGGGAGTTGCAAAAGTGGTTTGGTAAAGTTTTAGAATGGACATAAAAACTGTACGTTGCCTTTGTTATTTGACTGAGCCCTTATAAAATAAATAAGAATGATATTTACTATTCAGTGTAAATTTAAAAGGRCTCTCAAATAACTAAGGCATCCTGTAGGGTTCATATGCACTTTGGGGGGAGGGGGAGGGGGAGCATTACGCTTTTGATAATTGAAATTCAGTATCTTGAAATTGGCTGTATTTGAATTATTTTGAAGACATTGAACTTTGTCTTGGTGCAATGTTTATCCATTTCAGGCCAAGTGTCATTCCCTGGAGAATAAGAACCTTCAAGTTGTATCCATATTTGTGTAAGTTTTCTCATGCACAACTGTCAAACAAAGATATGAAATTCTTAGGAATGACATTTGGTCTAATGAGAAAACTTTGCACCAAGATTAATTAGGTCTATAACAAATTAAACGACTACTGTCCTATGCCAACAATGTGCCTTACATCTTTATGCTCCTTTTGGCATGAAGTGAACACCATCCTATGAAAATGAGTAAAGCTACTGGATATTCAAAATTAGAATGTAGACTACCAAAAACTGAATTGAAATTTATGAAAAAAGATAAACATTTTGTAACCAAAAGTTAACGTACTACTTTCCCAATGTCAAATGTCCTCACGTTTCTGTGGACTAATCTATCTATTAGCCCTCCTTCAGCTGTTAACAAAGCAGTTTTATGAACAGCATTAGAAAGTTCACCATTTCATAGCTCACTTTTGTATAATTTCCTGGTGAGATGGGACAACATCTACATTTTCCACAAAATCTTTCTATGAATGTTTCGGTCAATTATGAAGAAAAGTGTCAATCAAAATTGGCAAATTTGGTGCTTAATGGATCCTGAAAGCCAAGCAAACGGGCCTTTTGCAACAGTCATGTGCTGATATATCACATAGATACAAATAATTTCAGCTCAAGGTCCCTTGGGGAAGGCTCTGCTGGATGGCAAACAAACTTAAAAGTGCTTGAAATTGAAAGAATCTTTTAAGGGAAAAAAAGTATTTTTGAAAAGGTTTTGGATACAACATTAGCAATTCAGCAAAAAATATAAATAAAGGAAGTCCTAATTTTTTTGCCATCACGTGTCAATCTAATGCAAAAGGCCTACTCACACACTACTAGCAAATTAGTGGGTGCAAATGAGAAAATAAATATAGATATGACTCAAACAAATAGAGTGCTTTTAGTCTCACTGTTAAATAGGTGACGTCAACCAAATTAGATAAGTTATTTACTATTTTAGCTGACGTCACCTAAATTTGAAACTACGAGTAAACAGCTACTGAGATCAGGGGGAGAAACGATGATACAAATGAATGTCTATTCACTCATTCTCTGGTAAAACAACCCCCCGGATTAGCATGACCGTTATTTGGCGTGCTTTTACTATCTTAGGTGACGTCAACTAAATAGTTATCTAAGTTAGATAAATTTATCTAATTATTCAACAGTGAGACTAAAAGCACTCTAATCCTTGTCATAAGAGAATGAATGACACATGGTCTAAAATGGGAAAAATTACCCCTAAAGTGAAGAATTCTAACAAGTGGCAACATGTGACTACCATTTCTAAAATTAACCTCTTGCCTCCCATGGACATTTATATACTTACTTATTTATACTCTTTTCACGGTGTATAAGTTACCTTTATACCATTACTGTTTCATTAGAAACACTGACGCAGCTCACACTAGTTTTTAGCTAGTTATATCTTCTTATCTATATACTTATTTAAATAAAGTTAGTCACCAAAAACCCAGAAAGCTGTGATTGCTGAGAATCATGGGAAATATTTCATATTCAACAAGTAAAGCTTTTGACACAAACTGCAGCAGTTCAGGATGCTCAGAGGAGGTTAACTTGTAACTGGTAGAAGATCTCAAGTCCATCAACAGTTATCAAGCGCTTGAAACATGTAAAATGTATCCACCCATAATCCTTGCTGGTCTCAGCTTGGTAGCTTTTCAGGTTACTAACTTTATTGAAATAAGTGTATATGTTTTTGTTGATCTTCTGGAGAGAATCCAGGAACCCTGGTAGGGAAAAGGTTTTCACATTGAAATTTATTACAAATATGGTACATTTGAAAATAGTTATATTATAGAATAAACAGGGAACTTGTAAATAAATAAAAAACACTACATTTTTTGACACAAAAATATTATAAACTAAGAAAATGTGCAAACAAAAAACAAACAAACAACAAAACAAACAGAGAATCTGATCTCAATTACCAACGAGACTTCTTCCAAGCATTGTCAATAAACAGAATTTTTTGTTGGAAATAAGTACTTGTTTGAGTAGACAGAAACAGTCTCTTGTATGTATTGCTAGAGAATAGCTGATCAATATCAATGATCTTCAATCTTTGGTTACAATATACTTTTTCTCTGGAAATAGTCTCTATTTGGAAACATTTTATTTATCTCATCTCTGGTYGGCATTTATCGCCATCTGTGGTTATGGCATTACCAAACGTCACTGGACTTTGTCTACTCTTTGGGTGTTTTATGCTTTGCTTATTTTAAACAGCACATGCCAAAGCAAACATGCAATAACTTGCCTTAACATCCAATATTAATTATGCTTTTTCAAGATGGCTTATATCCCAATAAAATTCCATCATAACTAGAATATTATCAAAGTCTACAAATAATCCAACTGATTCCTAGATGGTCTTTGCATGGATAGAATCTTGAGCTTAATTTGATCGTAATCTAACAAAGCCTCAGCCAACCTTCTGCGCAACTTTGCTACTCTTTCCTCTTGCGACTTGACTTCGCTTTCAGATATCGTAAATGGGGTACACGGTGGTTGATCAACGTTTATCCATATTTCAGGATGCTTTTCTAGAGCAACTATTGATGTATGTTGTCCTCTTATACCAGTACTAGAGTGTATCTTGGCCATTAATGCATGAAGTAAGCCCTTTTCATCAATACCTGGACCAACGATCTTAAATCCTTTAGAAAGATTGAAACTATCTAGTTTTCTTCCATCTGATACATCAACTGCTGTAATTCCTTGTAAACGCTTTTCCCAGAACAACTGCTTTGGCTTATCTTTATTAATCTTAGTATTTTTACAAGATTGTTCCATTTTAYGCTTTTTGGGGGGACTAGGTTCCTCAGTTGAAGGGTAATATGAGACAGGCTGCTTTGAAAAGGACTTTGTTGACTGCCGTACTGGYGATGGTTGAATGGTCCCATTCAAATCTCGGCTATAGTTTTGTGGATTRGTACGTCGTCTGCTACTACGCTTGCAAAAGGTACCATTTCTAAAATCAAAGTCTGTGAGGTCAACACCTCCAAGCTCTTTTTCTAATTGTGGCTTGGAGCGGCATTTTTTACCATCAGGGCTAAACATAAAATAAATTAAATAATGAGTTATTAAAACACTGATAGTCATCTAAAAAAATTATGRACAAAATGTTATAATATTTTGTTATATTGTATTTCAACATTGACGTTTTAACAGATGGCTTTGTTAAAACCAAACTAGCTACCACCATGCATGTCTTTGTTCTTATTCCATTATTTGAAGATTGAAAGAAATCATGCCTTCAATCCCTGARTCAACAAATTATTTTATCTATTAATGTTTTAGTACATAATATCAAAAATGAAAAACATAAGTTCAAAGTTGTATAGACTATAAATGAACCCGATAAAAAAAATTTTCTYTACATCACGTGGTTGACAAAATATTAACTTTAATTTAAAACCAAAACTACGTCACAAATCTGAGCTCATTTGTATCAAGTATAAAAAAATTAAGTTACAAATGACACTCTACCTGTAATAGTAAACATCCGACCGTCCAGCAGAGAGACCTCCTTTTCTTATAACGATTTCCCTGTACCATCCTTTGGGCAGACTAGAGCACTCTTTTCGTACGGGTGGCTTTTCCTCCATCGAGACGTCAAACACACGAGTTTTTCGCTCGTCTCTGTAGCACTTTGTCTTCAAGAATGAAGATAAGACGTCGATAGTAAATCAAACTTTTGCTGAAGGGCAATTTCCGCGTATTATAAGAAGCAAAGAAGACATTCAGTTGAATACAATATCCAAAATGGCGGACAGACAACGAGTGAGGCCTTATTTAGAGGGCTGGACCTGTCAATCACGTGTCATTAAGGGCGCTCTTTACTTCTCTCCATGGCAACGGGCTGTAACTTTGGTCGAAGGGGCAGAAATGGTAATAACGGCCCGAAATCTAGTCGGCTTATGAACATATACGTTTTTAAACTTTGAAAAAATTATTTCTTTATTCATTTTAATTGCTTACTTTTAATTTAGAAACGCTCTTGAATAAAACATTTTTGAATCTTGTAAAAAGGTACAATTGAAATCATATTCATACATTATACGATACTCCTTTTTGCAATATACCTAAATCAACATGTATAACAATAAAAAATGTTAAAAACAAAACTGAAAAAAAAAGTGCTCCAGTTTAATGGATTATTTCCGTATCCATAGCAACAGCGACCACGTTTTCTTGCTCTATAGCGAGGTCGCCAAGCCTACCATTAAAAAAGCGCGAAAAGTTGAGTAAAAAAAAAATCCTCTTGACACCGAATAGTTTAGCAAAAACCATAGTTTTTCTCTAGGTTTTCTTTGAGAAAAAAAGTTATAATTCAAGATGGATTCTTTCTTTAGTAGTCTCTGACATTTTTGGGTATAGAATGTGCGATTTTCGAGGCAAGAATGCGTGGTTTTCTTCCAGCGCTTCTAAAGAATGCAAGCAGGTTTGGAGTAAGTCATTCAATCACAAGTTTATTTTTCGTAAAAATCTTTGAAAATGTCGACTTTACACACCTTTTTTCTTCCATTTAAGAAGTAATATTATCTTAAAAAGGAATTTCTTATTTTTTCCCAGTGAAAGGCGGTGGAAAGGTAGTAGATGATATGAAGGATGCAAACTACGTTTTTGCAGATGATTCTACTGAAATGTCCAGGTAAGCTTTTTTTTCTTCAATAATAATAATATTAAATAACGATAATTAACTTTTTGAAGTAAAAAATGCTCTGAAGGTAAAACCATCTTTTATTTGATCGCTGTTTAAATGGCTTCACGTTGCCAACTTATTTTAATCTACGTTACTATTTACGTATCATTCTTCCTCCCCATCATGGATCTACCTGCATTTTACTATTCCCTGATTTTTTTTAGAAAGCTATCTGTTCTGTATGATTTGCCAATGATAGAAATGCTTTAAATTTTTTTATTAAGATTTTACAAATCTAGATTATTTTTGGAGAAAGGAGTACAGCCATTTAGATCATCATGGTTGCTCGATACTAATAGAAGCATATTTGACTGTATTCTTTATCCAGAGGATTTTAAAGGTATTTGTTTTATCTTATTCATTCTTTCTTTTTCGTTTTTCCTCTCTTCCATCCATCCTTCCTCTCTTCCCACCAATTTCAACCATTCTTCCATCTTTTCTTGTGTAGCTCTTTCTTTTTTTCTACCTTTTTTCGTTCCTTCCATGCCTTATTTCCTAACATTTTTTCTTACTTCTTTTTCCACCCTTTTTATTTCTTTTTTCTTTCCTCCTTTCTTTTTGTAGGTTGTGTGGTCTCATTCATGATTTATTTTCTATGCAGATCTTGTCTCACCGAGCGAACATGACGATAAAGCAAGTCCAACCTTTCACATCTTTAAGGAATTCAGAAGTTCTCAATCACAAGACAGCGAGAGTACATTTTGTCTGGATGACTATGAGATACTGGATTTACCAAATCATGAAAAATCACCAAAGGCATCACCAAATAAAGTCAGTGAAGCAAGTTCTCTAAAATGGGTTTGTGAAGATGAGGATTCAAGTCCAACTTTGCCAAGAATCAAGGAATCCAGGGATTCTTGTTCAAAAGGCAGTGAAAATGCTGTTCAGTTGACAAATGACAGTGATGATGATGATGATGATCATGATAAACCAACATCCCACCAATTGAAATCAAATATCTCAACAACTGCAGTCAATGAAAGAATTTTTGACATATTTGAAGATGATGGATCAAGTCCAACTTTCCATAGACTCAAAGATTTTAGAAGCATTCATTCCCTCAACAGCAATAATACTGTTGGTATAGATGACAATGAGGCACTAGGCTCAAAATCTTTGAATTCAAAGACACTAGACAAGACACTGAGCAAAGAAAAAGAACCAACAAAAGCACCAATACCATCACAAAATGGATATCCTTTAGAGAAAGTAAACACTGCTTGCTGCCAAGGAACTTTGTTTCCAGTCATTTCCAGTCATGAAAACACCACAAAGTCAGGCCCTAAAACCATTTCCAGTAACAGAAGCACAAAGAAACCATTTTGTGCAGTCATTTCCAGTGAAGGCCCCATTAAGTCGACACCAGTAACAAAAGCTCAAAACAAAAGCTCCAAAACTAAACACAAAGAAGATAGACACTACACAGTGCAAGGTGAAGAACTGGTTGGTAAAGAAGACTCTAGTTCACTAAAATCATTCACTGAACAAGATGGAGCAACATTTTTACCAACTTCTGTTTCACTACGTGAACTGGAAATACCTACGCATGTTTTTCATTCAAGCATGCATGATGGTTAGTTGATATTTTTTATATAATATACGAATAAAATGAATCTGAAGAATAACTTGTTACAGGGTTATAAAGATAGGCCTTAGCCCTACGACTTTCCATTTTACTAAATATAACCTTGTAGATCAAAAACTTGGTCAGAATGAATGATGTATGGAATTAAGAAAATGAATTAATGAATAATGGATGCATGAATTAACTAATGAATGTATGTATGAATAAATGAATGAATGAATGAATG